TATGAAATTAGCAAACTGAGGAGGGACCATGCTTTGTCTGAAAAACTTACCAACCTGCCCCTTAAATCTCATTCTAGAATACCTTTCTTCCTCCCAAATCCAAATGGGAAGAAAGTCAGCTTTGGGATTAGCTCATCTGGTTCCTGGATTTTTTTTTTCCTCTGTTGCTTTCATAAACTGTGACTTGCAGGGGGAAACACACACACATCGGCCCCGTGGTAAATAATGTTGTTTATTGGTTGATTTTTCCAGATCCTGACATTGACGCTGCTGGTGCCATGATGCTTTTGAATGCTCCCCCTGAGATACAAGCAGGTTGTGAGTAGATATGTCTATAGCCTACGGCACCATAGTTCGTGAACTTAACATTCTCACTTACATACCGGGCCATAGGAAGAACTAATGCTCAAGTAGAACTTCCCTTGTAGAATCACTTTAAAACTACCTCAGTGCACGATTACATGCATAGGTGTGTTTCCAAGATGACAAAGGTTTTCTGTAATCTCAGGGCTTAAGACTTGGGAGGAAGGGAAGCAGACCCCATAATGAGTCCCAGTGGAGAGAACTTGCTTTCTCCTTTAGGAGTAGTTCCTGTGAGTTGGTAGTTTCTGCTAGGAGGCTACGTGGGGCCAGCTTAACAGTTTCTAGAAATTTCTTTCCCTTCTGGGACTTCATTAATGGCAGGCTACCATTTTATGACTAGAGAAGAGAGCTCGCAAGGTGGGTGTGCAGGAGCTCGGACTGGCCTTGAAATGGACCATGGGTGCCCCCAGGTGTCCTCCCCACCGGCCTTCCACACTGTCATAGAGAAGGGCAGGCCTCACTTAGCTAAGCAGGGCTCCTGTCTTCACCTTCTTTTGGCCATTGAGCAATGTCAAGCTTGAGACCACGCTCTTCCTCCCTTGAACTTCTCTTCTATCCACCGCCTCATGTTTTTTTCCCACCTCTGGAGCTAGATTACTGTGATTTTAGAAAGGTCTTCTTCCCGAGTGATGACTTTAAATGGAGAGATCTGTCCCCTCTTCCTGCTGACTTGAATCTAGTTCCTCTGCCCGCACTTCACCCCCAGCCAGAACCCTGTTGAGCAGATGGCCAGCTCATTTGCCAGTGTCTGCTCAGGACCTTGCTGCCTCGCAGCCTCCTGTTGACAGAACACACTGGTCAGAGATGATAACGTGACATGGCAGACCCCACCACGACACCCTCCCGGGGCTGGTGCCTGCCTGGCTCATTCTTAGGGCTGGGTCTTCAGCTCGTTGTGGGCTCTGGCTCCCTGAGGGCTGCCTGGCCTCTTGAGTCAGGGAAATCCCCCACACTGGAGAACATCTGTTCTTGGGTGCTTTTGTGAATAGCGGACTGATGTGGAATTCCAGAGCATCCTTCATAGCCCTCCGCGGGTCACAGCCTTCCCCAGAGCTTTAGGAAATTTGACTCTTTGCTTTCTCCTTCCTTCTTTTAAAAGACCCAAGAGATGCGGCCACACATTCTCAGGAGAGACTTGGCCCTCTGGCAGGGGCTACAATTACCTCCAAAAGGTGTCGAGTTCCCATTCTTTCTTGGCTAAACTCAGATCACCAGCAATTGAAGTGTTAGGCTGCCCACCCCGCCGAAAAGCAAACACCACTGCTAAGCGCTGGTGTAACTAGTACAGTCCAGTAACTAGCAGTTACCCTGTGATGTGGTTTTTAAATGATGTTTGAAGTGACAGAGAAATTGAAAACAAAACAAAACAAAAAACTCTGTTCTCAGATGACATGACAGGAGGAGTACAGACCAGATTGTAACCAAGGTATGGTCTGAAAGGGTTTCCAAAATCAGGCTGCATAACTTGTCATGAGGAAAGCATCCTTTTTTAGTCAGAGCGTGCAAGATTCAGCAGCATCTTCCTTAGCTCACGGCCACGGTACACAGTGATCATTGGCTTCGAGAGATGCTTTTGATGAACCAGAATAATGGAGTTGAGAGAGAAAGAGGCAAGGGGGTTGGTCATTAAGGGATTCCCGGCAGCTCCCGTGAAAGCTCATTATTACTGAATTCTTAAGCACAGGTAGAAGAGAAACAGGATTGATCTTGATTAGTTGACAAATTAATGGTTTTTAATGTTCTCGTGGCTAAATCAGCTTCTCCCCACTCCCTCACTATAACACTCAAACTATAAATAATTATTTTTTCAAGGTATCCATAGTCTTACTTAACATGAAAATACTGAACACGAGTTTTGAAAGCTCAGTGTTTCTGTGTTGAAGCTATAGGGTCATTTTTGGAAGTCTTCCTTCCCACCTCGGTCTTAACCACTGTGAGAAATCCAGCCTCAGCCTTCGTGAAGGTGCCACGCCAGGACGGGGGCTCCAGGGTCCTTCCAGGAAGGAAGGAACCAGGAGGCCCCCAAAAGTCACGGAAGGAGAGGCCCGTTGGCAGGAGCAGCCAAGAAATTGATGTTAAGACAGGGGAGCGGGTAGGAGCACCATTTTTGTATTTGCCTTCTCGTCCGGCCCCAGTCTCTAGTAAAACCCCCGCGTGGTCCAGCTAGTCAGCCTCCTGGTAAACCAGTCGGAGGCGTGTGTCTCCGCCCCCGGCGCCTTGGTCTTCTCTTAGCGTCTCTTGGCTTCACTCTTGCCCTCCCTCCGCTTGTTTTCATTTTACTCGTGCCATGTTTCTTTTCCTGAGATTCAGTGAGTGCCTTGTGTGGCCGCCATCCCCCTGCCTTGCCAGCTTCGCCCGAGGCCTGGAAAAAGTAGGAGATGATTCCTCACCCAAAAGGTTCTGAGGCAGCAGGCCCCCAGCCGCGGTGCTGGGGGATTGGCGGCCCGCCTGGTGGTGTTGGTGTGCGTGTGTCCCAGTGTGGATGCGCGCGCGTGTGTCCCGGTGTGGATGCGCGCGCGCGTGTGTCCCGGTGTGGATGCGCGCGCGCGTGTCCCGGTGTGGACGTGTGTGTGTGTTCAGCCCCCGGGCTGGGCTGTGGCCGAGCTCTGTTTTCAGAGCCTCCCTGTATCCTGCTATTTATACTCCCTTCTTTTCCCCTCCTGGGCTGTGCGATGCCCTGTTTGAACCGAGGCCACCAGCCTCGTCTGTCTGCCGCGGTCGTTTCCAGCCGTAAGAGGCTGGCCCGGGTGGCTTGAAAGTCTCTTCCTTTGCCATCGACCTCCGTAGCCGCTCCACTTAAGGTTACCAGATGGCAGCCACTTAGATGGTTTCCTCTCATCCTCCTGGGGCCCAGCCTCTGCAAAGCTAGCTCGGGGCTGGCAGACCAGCCACCATCCACAAGCTGAGTAGATTGGACAAAGGAGGCTTCCCAAGAAGCTGGTGAGAATTCCAGTCAGCCAAGCCCCTTTATCTTTGAGGGGTCCGGTCCCACACTGCCCCACGGGAGCTCAGCTCCCCACCCCCCTGCCCCGTGTATTGCCTGAGCTGGACTCCCTGTGGGTCCCCTCAGCCTCCCCTGGTGACCTGATGCTTCGCTTTCGATGAGGCAGCTATGTGCATCTAATCCAAACCACAGGCTTCAGTGTTTCGTCCCCTCTCCCAGCAGCACCAGTGATGATGTTCCCTTTTCCAGACTTTGCCACTTTGCAGCATGGGAAACATTCTACAAGGTGTGCCATTCTGTCTTGCATGCACTCTAGGATGCTACTTCCAGAAAAATCAGCACAGGACGTTGCTGCCTCGTTATCTCTTGAACTTTGGATTATGCTCCTAGTCAGATCCATCCGCCTACCCACCCCGTCCTCCCATAAAGGTGGCTACGGAGACTTAATTCCAGCTTCTAGAGTCTACTTAAGTACCTGCTTTGCAGTTCCGCTTTGACAAGCCCTGGGAGTCATCCTTAACCCCAATGGGGGGATTGTTATGAAGTCAGATCACCGTTACTCATCTTCAAAGGCTTATATAACCCCTGGTTGGAATGTTCCCAGAGAGGAACTCTGATCATAAACAAAACAACAAAATGGGACAGCGGCGGGGGGCGAGGGGGGCGGCAGTGGAGGTGGCATTCCGCAGCGGGCCTCGAAGTGGGATATGTATCCAACACGCTAGGCACCGGAGAAGAAAGGCAACTGGCACGTAGGCTCCCCCATTCCAGCCCCCTGCCCAGCATCCTTCCAAGTAAGCAGGTGGAAAGGCCGACTTCGGGAAAGGGAAGGATTATCGGAATCACTTGCTGCTCAGCTTATGGCCTCTGGTAACGTTAGCCAGGGCTGCCCTCCAAAGGCAGCAGTAGGAGCTCAGAGGTTAATTTTAGAAGCTGTGAAAATCAAGGAAGCTGAGCATCAGGAGGGAAGCTGAGGAAGCTGGGATGGGGAAGTGCTGAGGGTGGCAGAGCCCGGAGGGAAGTTTGTCTTGTGCCATCAGCATTTTTTTAGGTTCTCAAGGTGCTTGCATTTAGATCCTGGTGAGCAGTGCTGCCTGGCTCAACTCTCTTTGTGTGTGTTCCTGTCTTCCTGGTTAAAAATAAGGAAGTTTAGAGTCACTCTGTAGCATAAGAGAAAGTGGTCGATCAACAAGAACTGGGCGCTCTGCGGCTCCTGTCCTCAACCCCTCAGCCCAGCAACTCGAGAATCTCAGACGTGTGTCTTCTTGCGGATAAAAGCTGAACATTGAATTGATCTAACAGAACAGGATGGTGCTGGAGGCCTGTGCCTTTTGCAGTGAGAGCCACAGACATGTCCAGTTTCTCACTACATACAGCCCTTCCCAGCTGGTACCAATCTCAGTGCATTGGGTGGGGTAGGCTGGTTTAAAGGGCTTGGTCCAGAGGTGTTCTGGTCTACCCTGAGGGTGATACAGAGGCGAAGGAAGGGAAAGAGAGGCATGCTGACGGGAAAAGGGCTGAGGAATGCATTCATGCTCTTTCGGAGTCCCCCACACCTAAGACTAGTTAAATATGCACCTCAGGATGCTTTTCGTGGACATTTTAGACTGGCTGTGATTTGTTTCTCAGAAGCCTCGTTCCTGACGCTTGGGGATGGAGACAGGAAGGAGGAAAGTTGGGAGAATAGTTAAGTGTCACAGCTGGCTTCTGGCAGCCCGTGAGCAAATACGAACACATCGCCATCCCAACATGGAGAGCGTTGCCAGTGAGGAGGACTGTGAAGTGCCAGGGTTGGCAGAAGCAGCATTCAGTTGCAGCTCATTTGAGAGCAAACTCCAGGAGTCAGGAGAGGAGCCTAGTTTATGTGCCAGGAGTCTTGGTTCAGGAGGTTCAGGAAATAGCTCGGGGAAAGCCTTTTAATGCTGTGGGATAGCTTTGTCCGTGAGATTCTCTTTGAAGTGAATACACTTCATTAATCAGGACGATGTTTTAGGGGGTGAATGCAGAGTTGGGGAGAACTACAAAAAGCATAAAAGGCTGGAAGAATTTCACCCTGTCTTGACGTGCCACCCCCCCCCCCACTTAGGTCCTGTTCCTTATAGATAATTGGTAAGAGGATGCTAGAGAGATGGGATGCGATGGTGAAGGGATGAGCAAGATGGTGATGATAAGCTTATAGAATGGACCAATTTACATCAGTCTTCCTGTTTAATACTCAAAACAGTCCTAGGAGCTGTGGGATACTGAGGCACAGGAAGGTTAAGGCACTTGTCCAAAGCTGCAGAACTAGTGGTGGGACGGAGGCCATGTTGCCCCGGGCTTGCACTCTTACCCACTGCAGAACACTTCTTCCCTGGAGGCATAAATGAGGGAGGCGCATCAGTGGACCCTGGTCTCCAGGCCGTGTGCACCGAGGACTGGCTTCCTTTCTTTGTTCCACTCCCTGTTGGCCATGCCCCTGGGGCTTAAAGGTTCTAGGCTCTTGGGCAGAGGACTCTGGGCTTGGGGCAGTGTCCTTGGGGTTGCTTTTCTCCTTTGACTGGCACATGACTCACTGGCCGTGCCAGGTCCAGAGAACCTGTGCTCTAGGACTCCCATCTACCGTCTTCACTTTCCAGGGCACCCCAGTCTCTGTCCCAGGATTTTAGGTGTTTCAGGCATTCCCCCCTCCCCCCTCCCCCCGCCACCAGGGGCGACTCTGACACGATTTGCGCGATGGGAGCAGAAGCACCGTTAAGAGTGGCCATTGCTCCTCCAGCTGCACTCTGTGACCAGGAAGACGGCTAAGTTCCTCCAGAACGGTTCGGGTTTGTCTCCCTCAGTCCGTACGGACTTCTGGCTGGCCTGGAATGGAGACAGCACAGGCGGCCTCAGGATGCTCTGAGGATGTTGGTGGTGGTCGTGATGCTGATATTGATGACTAAGATGTATTTTTCTAAACGGTAGTGCCTTTATTAACTCAGTTAAATCTCCACTCTGTGAGCTAAGTCCCATTTCTGTCCCCATCCTCTTACTGAAGTGGCTCGCTCAGGCGACATAGGCAGTAAATGACAGAGATGGGATGCAGACTTAGGGCCTTCCAACACCAGAGTCTGGCTCTCAGCCACTACACTCTGGACCGCTTCCCTGCTCAGAACCCTGTAATGGTTTCCCCAGTACCCATGGGGCGAAGCCCAGAAGCACCTCATTCCTGCAGGGGATCATATGCTTCAGCAAAATTACTTTTTGTTCTTGTGCACATTGTGGTTATTATTACTTCCAGGCCTTGTGTGTGCCATTCCTCTGCCTCTTAATGCCAACTTCGATGGCACTTTCTACAGGAAGTCTTCCCAGGGACCCTTTACTTCAGGTCAGGTGTCTCCATCCTTCCATGTTTATAGACCCCCTGCCCCAGCACTTACCATAGTATATTTCCCACGTCACTTTAATTCTCTATCTGTCCCGCTTAACTGTGGCAACCCCATGTCCCCTTCATCGAATACCTAAGCAGGTACTTGGTGTGTTAATCCCTTAATCGATACAATCTATATATGGGACTGTAATAGTTTTGCTGGTGAGAGTTATAACTGTGGTATCGATTTTAAATTTCTAAGTTATTTTAACAAGTAGTCGTTTCTATCAGATTTGCTTGCTGTTCTGGATGAGATCCCTGGTAACTGATGTCTTCAATAGTGTTATCAGAATTGAACTGAGCCTGTGGCTGTCGGGCCATTTCAAAGAGACTGCCATACGGCAAAGTAACTGAAAAACCCTTTGCCACAATCCCCAAAACAGACAAACCAAAAGCCTCTCTTTTCAAACAACGCGAAGCACCTGGCTCTATAAACTCCAGAGTTCTCCTGATTTTTGCGTGCCTGTCCTGGGGAATTATGGGCATTTTTCCTCCTGTGTTTTTCTTTTAAAAGTTTTATAATTTTAGTTCCTGTGTTTATGTCTGTGATCCGTTTCTAATTAAGTTTCATGTATGGCATGAGGTAAGGACCAAGGTTCATTTCTTCCCAGATGGATCTCCAGTTGTTCTAACTCTATTTCCCCCATTGTGTTGTCTTGGTACCTCCACCAGAAATCAAGTTGGGCATGTGTTTGTGGGTATATTTCTGAATTCTGTGTTCTTCCCGATCTGTATATCTCTACTGACACTAATCCCACCCTGTCTTGTAGCTTTATAGGAAATCTTGAAATCAGTAATATAAGTCAGTTAATAGAAATTTTAGATACTCTTTCTTAGAACTTATCAACTAAGCAAAATAGGATACCTACCCAGAGTATCATATTATACAGGTTTCATGCTTCTAAGATAGTTGGTAAGTCTCCTGTCTCAGATGATCTGCTGTCTGAAATCAGGCTGAGAGTAAGGGACACGGGTAAGAGTTTCTGATCTAGTTCAGCCTGTCACAGTTAAATATGGTATGAGAATGGGAAGATTCTGGACACTGGACTGCATTGGCAGTACTGACTTTGGGCACTGGTTTTAATTCTGTCTCCCATCCACCTTTTAGAAAACCCAGTGGCAAGGGCTTTACACAGACCTAGAAAAAAAAAGTAGCAAAAAATATTAGCAAGAGCCACAGAATTCTCGAGGAATCAGTCTATATAACATTATCCCATATTCAGGAGTGGATGTTCATCCTATGTGAGGGACCTCTTGGTAAAGGTTTGGAATGTTTATGTAAACATGCTCTTAGAAGCCTAAAATTTACAGGAGTAGAAAGTAATGTTTGTGTTTTATAGAGAGTATTCTACTCAATATGGACATTAAAAATTTAATATCCAGAAGGGTTTTCATTTTGAATGTATAATTGTCTGGAGCCTTTTTGGTATGGCATTTGTTTGAGAAAGCCTGATTTATCCACCTTGCCTCTGGATGAGACTGGGGGCTGCTGTATGAACACAGCCAGAGCTCGGGGGACTCAGGATGCTGTTCAGGGAAGGAAGAAGAGATTTCGGTAACTTGCATAAAGTCACACAAGAGGAATTAAGATTAAAGCTAAGACTCCAAGCCCCGCATCAGGGCTCTCACTTCATGATGCATGCCTGGCCCCGTGGACGCATGGAGGAGAATTGGTAGTACCGGAAGAGTATTGGCTTGAACCAAACGAAACTGCTATTTGGGAGGTCGAAAAAGATGGACTCTCGGGGATTTCCTGTGGTTCCCCTGTTGTGTGACTCCTCAGACAGGTGTGAGGCTCCTGTGGGATTGTATGGAAACGGACGGGATCTGATGTTCACTGGCAAAAAGGTTGGCTTACCATTGCTCCAGGGACGAGGGTGTTTAGGAGAAGGCAGGATGGTGAGAGAACTCTCTGGAGATTTGCTCGGGGGAAGCTTCGAGAAAGGAGGAAGTGGGCCCTCCAGAGGGCTCTGCATGATTCTGAGGCAGGAGCCAGAGCTTCCCTGTCAACCCTCTACCCCAGCCACACTGAGGAAGGGTCTTTCCTTGGCAGCAGAAATCACTGTGAGCATGAACCGTGTTGTGAGCACTGAGGTGCCAAGAGGCTTTTGTAAAATCAGCTTTGTTATTATTTTGGCTCTCTTTTTCCCTTGTTGGATTAAGGACAAATAGAAAGGTGTTCTCAGCTTCTGACCATGATCGGAGAAGCATGAGGAAATGCGTTTGTTTGGTCATTGCTATCAGACTTCTATCAGTGTTCTTGAGATCTTGTTTTAGGGTCTGACTGGAAATAAAAGCTTATATTAAATAAGCGCAAGCAAATAATGTTAGAAGCCCATTTTTTCAATACTCACCCTTTTTTAAACCAATGCATCAATAATTTGATTGTAAGGTATTGGTCTGACACAGCTGACTGAACCTCTTTCTTGAGGCATGGGATCTTTCTTTCCCTCTCGGTGTGCATGCGTGTGCGCATGTGTCAGACGTGTATTTCTCTCTGTTCACTCTCTATGCCAATAATACCTTCTCTTTTCTCTCTCTCTCTCTCTCTCTCTCTCTCTCCCTCTCTGGTGTATCCAGAATTTCTGACTCAACAGAAATCTTAGAAGCTGAACTCATGTGTGGTGTCTTTCCTTTTTGCTTTTCCAGTTCCTCCAGGAGTGATACAAAATGGAGCACGGGTTCTGAGCCGCGGGCTGTTTCCTGGAGTTCGGCCTTTGCCAATCACTCCCATTGGAATGACGGCAGCTGTGAGGTAAGGGAGACACTCTCTGGGCAGAGCCTGCCTAAGAAGTGGGAAGGGCATCATCATGTGTCCCACAGGGTCACTTGGGTTGGAGAGGCCCAGCCTCTAAACAGTGAAGACCATAAACCTGGTTTGGGTGTTCAGAAAAGTCACAGTAATTCCCAGGGACCCCAGTCCACGTGCCAGCTTCACCTTCTAGGCTGAAATTATCTTGGTCCCTTTGCAGATAAGGAGATGAAGACAAATAAGCATTTTTGTTCTAAGAAGGTAGGGCAAGGTTGGGGGGAAGGAAGTGGTGAGCAAGTTGGTCATTAGATTCTAGGCCAACTGGTCTACCTCTAGAATGAAATGCAAAATCCTGTGTGAAAAGTGCCTTGGTAAGTGGCATATAAATAACAGGTGGCATCATTCCCCCTGCTTCCAAGAATCAGGTCAGTTGCCCAAGCCACATGAAGTCTTCCTTGGGAAATTGCTTCCCTCCATCCTTCTTACTCCATTGCTGGCCCTGGGTTAGGGTTTCTCATTAGCTTTGACCCCTCACAGGTGCCAATGTGGATGCCACCTCCTGTTTTCCTGCTGCTTCTCTGCCCACTGCCTCCCACACATCAGTCTGACATCACCCCATTCCTTCTGTCTCCTTGAGCCAAACTTGTTCCCCAAGGATGTCCAGTGTTGGCCCATCTTATCCACTTCGTTGCCTCTGTGTAGGCTTCCCTCAGCCTCTGCATGCAAATCAGCACCTCCTTCAAGGTCCATCACAAAAATGATTACTTCACAAAGCTTTTGGGAACATGGCCTCTGAGCCACCCTGGATGGAGTTTTCTTTCCTTTGAAAGCCCCATGCTTTGGTTGTGGCCCTTTGATGGGTGACCCTGTGTGGTAAAATTCCTCTGTGTGTCCCCCTCTGCTCTCGGGTTCACTTGCTATAGATAGGGTTGGCTCTCACTCACTTGGCTGATGGCTGACAGCTCCTCACGTTTGCAGTGTCGGGCCCAGGCTCTCGCTTGGAAGGCCCGTCGCACTGAGCTGCACCGCTCCGTAGCATCCTCTCCTTGCTCACTCTGCACCTTTGGATCAAGTTCGCATCTGAACGCCATTTTCCTTTCATAGTGTCTCATGTCCCAAAGGAAACCACCCCAGAAGGTCTGTTGGGGGGCTGAGGGAAGATGCAAGATCGAGCTCCCTCGCGTGAAGGAACCACGTGAAGCTTTCCTGCTCAATTATGTCTTGCCACTCTTCTGGCAAACCAGCCTACTCATGCCAAGTTGGAAGTCCCCCAATCTTCAGGGCAGACACTGGTGTCTAGGACCTGATGAGTAGGGAATTTGGTTGGAATTAGAATAGTAATAAAATTAGAAAACCACATAGCATTTCCGCTAACCCAACATGGTGATACTTTCCAAAAATAGATGGGGGTTGGGTCTTTCTCTTGTATTTCTCCAGTATCTTCCATGGTTATCTGTAGATCAGTAATTCCTGAGTTCATAAATGAAAAGCCTCTTCCACGAAGCCAAAGTATCAGTGCCTTTGCCTCACATTATGAGAGAGGCACTCCATTTTCTGTTCTTACTTAAAATCTTTTCAGCCTCACCTCCCACCTTACCTTTTTGGCTGACAGGACTTTGAGACTGTAGACTGTTTCTCGTGGAACAGCAGTCTTTGTTTGTTAGCAGATTCCAAGTGTAGGTTTCAGTTTGTCATCTTGAGCGTTCCTTTCAGCCCTTTCTAGGATGGATCTGATGTGGCTCCGGCCATTCCTCAGAGCAGAGCACAAGAGAGCTGGGCGCACGGGGAGAGAGACATAAGACGAGATTGGCCTTCGGCAGGAGCCATCCCCTAATTTTAATTACTATCCTCGTAACATATATCATTTCCCGTTATCATACATTTTACTGATTAGTACTCCCTAGAGGATCTTTTAAAATATTGATTTCCTTTTTTTTTTTTTTTCCCTCCTGGTTATGTTCTGGTTGGGCGATAACAAAGCACCACCACAAAACAGTGAAGTCTTGTCTCTCATTAAAGAGTCGCCACTTCCCCAGTGCAGGGAGCACCTTACTTTGGCTCTGCCACGGTAAAAGACCACAAAACAGGTTTCAGGTGCAGTCAGGAGACAGAAACCATACTAGGTGTTCGAGCAGGGAGACTTTCACGTAAAGAACCATCAACCAGGTAGGAAGTTATGAACCTAGTAACTGGAAGGATAAGAAGAGAACTCCAGGCATCGTGGTGAGAGCAGTTGGGAAGCAGCCACATGCCCTCGGGCTAAGAGAAAGGGGAGAGGTTGTGATGGCTGCCCTGCGGAGGTGGGGCTCAGACCTCAGAAGAGGAGCTGGGGGCGGGGATCCAGACCTCTGCCGGGTACCCCTCCCCAGGGCACTGGAGTCTCTGAGCACAGAGGAGGGACCTGTGGAAGGACCAGAGGGATCTCAGGATCTCCTGCTGGTGCAAGCCCTGTAGGGGAACGTGAAGAAGTTGGTTCTGTAAGCGTCAGAGGGACCACGAGCTGGATTCAGCAGCTTCTACAGGAATGAGCTGCCACCTCAGGTGAACAGGATACACACAGGAAGGGGCGTGTCCTTTCTTCCTCCACCCCCTTCCCAGTCTTTCCATGGCATCTCCTGCTGTCTGAGTCTAACATGGAGCCAGATGGTGCAGCAGACGTGGGGCTTGCATAGCCCAGCCCCAGCCCCAGCCCCAGCCTACAAAGCACTGTGGAAGGGTGGGTTTGGGGCTGAGTGACGGTAGTTTCAAAATGGCACCACTTGCTTGACGTCTGTCTGTCCACTGTGAAAGCACACGTAGTCTCAGAGTGATGACCTTCCTCAGCATCAGAGAAGTTTTCGGTGAAATGCACAACTGCTGGTTTGCAAAACTAGACAGGTTTCCATCTGCATGAATAAGAGAGAACCAGTCAAGAAAACCATTGTGCATTAGCAGTGCATTTTCCAGATACGAGTTCGGCACCTTCCAGCTCAGTTTTAAGAGAAATTAGGGAGAGGAGTATTGCAAGCTCTGTAAGGTCAAGGACCCTTGCTCAGAATACTTTGCCTTCTTCATGCCCCAAATGCCTGGCAAATAATAGGTACTGAGGTGCTTTCAGAAAGAATAAACATAAACATAGCCACGGGGGTATTTGCAGAACCAGTGTCTATGTAAAACCCATTAATAAGTCTTTGGGCGGGGGGAGGATCTTGTTTTGCTCTTTCACACTCATTGTAATTTAAAATTTTTTAAAAATTTGACCATGTATCTGAGGTTAAAAGGAAAACAGTCCACAGGAGAACAGAACAACAGCAGATGTTGGCCGGACCCCGTGTTGGTGACCAAGGGTTTCTGGGAGTGTTTCGTGTTCCCACCACTGCCCCCCCGCATCAGTGCAGTGGGGGATGGAGGGAGGGCCAGAGAGTCATTAGCACCCACTAAAGACCAATTTCCTACTCTGCTTTGTGTGACAGGTTTTCTGTGTGAGTCTAAGTGACTTCTCCTTAAGTGAAAATATTTGTCTTTCAGGGATTTTTTTTTTTCCCACCACTGAGTGGCAAAGGCCATGTTTGTTTGTCTTAACTCTGAAACTGTTATTGACATAGATGAAGTGTTACTTTTATTAGCTGATCATTACACAGCTTGTATTTGCTGGGTTCCTTTGCATATAATTATGATGTGAAATCTCCTTGTAAGAGTATCTGTCAATAGTGTAATTGACTTTACAGTGTTGACTTTTTACTCAATAACCTCAGAGATTGGCCCATCCTTAGTCGTTGGAAACCTGCTTATTTTTAAATTTGCCTGGGCATAGAGTCCTCAAGACACATCATCCTCAAAATGATTCTCACACGTCTTAAAGTTTTATGCCTGTGTCTTCGGTTTTCCCAGAGACATTCTTTGCAGAGAATACATTGAATGGAACAAACTATTATAGCCCTAGGAGAACTGTTCCTGGCTCTCTTGGGAAACAGGAGCCCCAAATTTCTTATATTTATAGCATTATGGGCTGCCTCCCAGGTAGGGGCCATAGCAGCTCTCTGGGATCTGGGCCCCCTTGCTTTCAACTCTGAGGGCTCTTTTGACTGCAAGTGATCATTCAGGTGGTTGAGAAGAATTAAATGTCCAAGGCTTGCCAGAGAGGACTGAGAGAGAACTGCGGAGGGGGTGGGGGTCCTTCATAAGGCAGCAGGGCCAGAAATTACATACGAGAACTCAGGAACCAAGTTTCCCCGGTCCTTATCCTGTGGTTGTGTGTATGTGCCTGGACTTCTCATGAGAAAACCAGTCTTACGGGTTATTAGGGTAATGCAGAGTTATGTGCCTGGCCTATGATATGCGTTAAGTAGGTGCTTGATAAATAATGTGGAAAAACAACCCAATTCAGAAATGGGCAAAGGACTTGAATAGATATGTCTCCCAAGAGGATATACAGATGGCCAAAGCTCATGAAAAGATGCTCAGCATCACTAATCGTTAGGGAAATGCAAATCAAAACTACGAGATACCAGCTCACACACATTAGGATGACTCGTAGCAACAGCAGAAACTAACAAGTGTTGAGGAGGATGTGGAAGACTTGGAACCCTTGTATGCTATGGGTAAGGATGTAACATGGTGGAGCTGTTGTAGAAAACAGTATGGCGATTCCTCAAAAAATTAATCAAATTACCATATGGTCCAGCAGTTCCACTTCTGGGTTTGTACCCAAAAGAACCAAAAGTAGGGTCTTGAAGGGATTTTCATTCATCTGTGTTCATAGCAGCACTGTTCACAATAGCTAAAATGTTTAAGCAACCCAAGGTTCCGTCAACAGATGAGTGAATAAGCAATATGTGGTATATACACACAATGGAATCTCATTCAGCCTTGAAAAGGAAAGACATTCTGACACATGCTACGTACGGTACGGATAAACCTTGAGGACATTACATTAAGTGAAATAATCCAGTCACAAAAAGACAGACTCTATGTTCCACTTATATGAGGTATTTAGAGTAGTCAAAATCCTAGAGACAGGAAGTAGAAGGGTGGTTGCCAATGGCTAAGGGGAGGAAGGAGTGGAGAGTTAGTGTTTATTGGGGACAGAGTTGTAGTTTTATAAAATGAAGAGTTCTAGAGTTGGCTGGTGGTGATGGCTGCACAATGATTATGAATGCATTCAACACCACTGACCTGTACAATTAAAAATGGTTAAGATGGTAAGTTTTTCATGTTTGTGTATTTTACCACAGTAAAACCAATTGGAAAAAAAATAATAAGATTAATAATGTGGGGAGCCTTGGATTCATCTAGCTTGCCCTCCACACACCCTCCCAGGTTCCCTTTCTGAGCACCTGGAGCTTAGCCCCAAACCCCAGGAAAAGGCTTAGATTGAGCTTTTTATGCCCCCTTCAGGACAGTATACATCTGCCCAAGCCATTGGTTTTAAGGAGTGGTGGCAGTCATCTGAACCTCAGCAATTTATAAAATTATAAGAAAGTTCCATCTAGTCGCCGTCTAAAGGTACTTAATTTTATTTGGACCTCAAGTGAAAACTTGCAGTGCCCATGGAACATGAAGCGAGTCAGGAATTAATGGTCTAAGCATTAATACCTAAGGTGCTGTCAGAATAGAGTCATCAGGAAGACTCCTCTCAGCCTAAGATCTGCTCCTGGTCACCTCACTTTGTCTTTCCCCTTTGAGAAGATGTTTGTCACAGGAGTTCGGGAAGCTGATAACGTTCAATTTTAAGATAGGGTGTGGTTTAACAACAGAACTTGAGGGAAGATTTGCCACTGGTCTTTTTCTTTTTTCTTTTTTGAGATTTGGGGTTTTTTTTGTTTGTTTGTTTTTTTAAGGAGACAAATCTTTCCCCTTCTTTATTTTTTAAGTAATCCCCACACGCAACATGGGGCTCGGATTTACAACCCCAGGATCAAGAGGTGCGTACAGTACTGACTGAGCCAGCCGGGTGCCCCTGGGATTTCTTTTTTTTAACTGAAGTATAGTTGACACACAATTTTCCATTAGTTACAGGTGTATACGTAGTGATTAGACAAGTCTGTGTATTATGCCCTGCTTACAGCAGGCATAGCTCCCATCTGTCCCCATACAACGCTGTCACAATACATTGACTACAGTCCCGATGCAGTACCTGCTATTGGTCTTTTTGTCTTATATTTTGTTTTGTTTTTAAAGACCATGCACGTGTCAGCTTCTGTCTTCTGAAATCATGTTCTTTGAAGGCAATTCTGAAACTCAGAATTAGGTTATGCTTTATGGTAGGGAGAGAAGGAAATGCCACAGGAAGAGTATGGCTTATTTTTAATTTATTTCTGAATTCATTATGGTACCTGTAGGGATTCGTCCACTTCACCGAAGTTTTCAGATCTATTGGCGAAAAGTTATTCGTAACGTGCCTGCCGTCTTTTTAAAATACTTTTGTAGTTATGCTCCTTTTTCATTCCTTATTTCATTTTAACATCACTCTTCTTCCTTAATCTTGCCGTAATTTTTGGCTTTCCTCTGAAAGTTAGCTTCCGGGTTGTTTTTTCATTTGGGGTTTTGGGTTTTTTTGTTTGTTTGTTTTTGTTTTTTCTTCTTCATTAATAATTTGCTTTCTTTTTGTGGTTTATTCTTTTTCTCTTTGCCTGCATTGGTTACTTTCATTTTAAACTTTTCTTCTTTTTCTGTAAAAGTTTAAGGTTATAATTTCCTTGAAACTACTGCCTAGTTGTATCCCGTGAGTTTTGATATCTTTCATTTTCATTATTAACAGTGCAAAGTATTCTTTAATTTCCATTTTTATTTCTTTGACTCACAGGTATTTTTAGAAGCATGTTTTTAAATTCTCAAACTGAGGAGAAGGTGATTGTTTCTTATTTTCGTTTTTAGTTACCTCTTCAACACTGATTCTTAACTACCAGGCTTTAGTGGTCAGGGAGTCGATCTGTAAGATACTGCTTCTTCAAAATTTGGGGAGACTTGCTGTATGATCTAGTACACGTTGGTTTTTATAAATATTCTATATGTGCTTCAAAATAATGAACTAACACATGTTCCGTATATGTCCATTAGATCAAGTCTGCATTACAAACCCTGTGTGCCGGTGGGGGGGGTGCACACTTGATCATTGAATACTGAGGATGATATATTAAAATCTCCCATTACAGTGTGGATTTGACCGTTTCTCCTTGTAGCTCTTTCAGTTTGGGCTGTGTATATTTTGAAGCTGTCTTACTGGAGGTATCCATGTTTAGGGCTGTTGTATCTCGGGGCACCTGGGGAGCTTAGTTGTTAGGTGTCTGCCTTTGGCTCAGGTCATGATCCCGGGGTCCTGGGATCGAGCCCCGCATTGGGCTCCCTGCTCAGTGGGAAGCCTGCTTCTCCCTCTCCCACTCCCCCTGCTTGTGTTCCCTCTCTCGCTGTGTCTCTCTGTCAAATAAATAAATAAAATCTTAAAAAAAAAAAAAAAGAACTGTTGTATCTTCCTGGTAAACTGAACCTTTATGAATGTTTAATGACTCTCTTCATCTGTAGTAATGATTTTTGCCTTAAAAATCTGTCTTCTCTGGTTTTAATATAGCTACACCAGCATGGCTTGAGACATTTTCCATCCTTTTACTTTTAACCTTTTTTTGTCTTTGTGTTTTAGGTTTTTCTCTTAGAAACAAATACCTTTTCTTAAAAATCTGTGTTAATGATCTTTACCATTTAGTGAAGATTTTTAGCCCCTTTTTAGTAACATATTTGGATTTATTTCTACCATTTTATTTTGTATTTGTTTGCCCTGCTATTTCCAGATTCTTTTTCATTTCTTGCATCATTTTAAATTGATCAAGAGTCTCCCTTCCTCATTTTTTTCCCTTCTAATGGTTTAAAAATTATATATTTTGTTTCTCTTCTTTTAGTGTTGATCCCAGAACTTGTAACATGAATATTTTAAAATGTTTAAAGTTAATCAATACTTTTAACCTCCTGATCAATACAAGGCCCTTGGAATGCTTTAACTGCTGTTCTCTCTGCCTCCCAAATGATGTGTTACATTTGTCCAGTACTTTGGTTCTATTTCAGTTTTTTTTAAGTCGCTTAGTCATTATCATCATTATGCTGTTCAGTCAATACTTGATTACATTTTCTTTGCTTATCATTTTTTCTTGCGTCTCAGACCTTCATTTTCCTTTTTTCCTGAAATATATTCTTAAGAAGTTCCTTATACTGAGTATCTGCTTTTAGTAAAGCTCTAACAACGTCTTGTCTGAAAACATACTTATTTTTAAGCCTTCATTCTTAGAAGATAATGTTACTATGCATACAGTTTTAGTTCGACCATTCTTTCCTTCCTCTCTCACTTGGAGAATATTTTTCCACTTTCCCCTCTTGTGCTTGTTTTATCTTAACTGATACTATTTTTTTTAAAGATTTATTTATTTTTATTATTTTAGAAAGAGATAGAGAGTGCATGCGTGGGTGGAGGGGCAGAGGGGGAGAGAGAATCCTGAGCAGACTCTCCCCTGAGCACAGAGCCCACCTCCAGGGCTCAGCCCCACCTCAGGGCTCAGTCCCAGGATCCTGCGATCACAGTCTGAGCCGAAATCCAGAGTCAGACACTCAACTGACTGAGCCACCCAGGCTCCCCACTGATACTCCTCTTTAGGTGATGTGTTTTCTTTCTGCTATTTTTAAATCTTCTCTCTCCCTTTTTTAAATGTCTACAGTTCAACTATGATGTGTCCAGATACACATTTCTTTTTACTTACCTTCTGTGGGATTTGTTGGTTAAATCTGAAGATTGGTACCTTTCATCAGAATGAGAAAATTCTCAGCCCATTTTCTTTTCAGGCGTTGGGTTCGCCCCCATGTTCTGTTTCATTCTGGAACTCCAGTTGGATTTACATTGGGTCTTCTTACTGTATTCCACATTACCCATTCTTCCATATTTCTCTTTGTTTCTGCTACATCGTATGTAGTTTCTTCAGATTCATCTTCCAATTCACTGCTCTTTTTTTTTTTTTTTTTTACTAATTTTTCTCCTTCAGCTTCATTGAGGTTAATTTCAGGGATTATACTTTTTTTCATCTCAAGCAACTCTGATGCTTTCCAGAATCTGTCTACTTAGATTTCATAATCTGTTCTTCCTTTCTGATACTTTTCAGTTCCCTCTTTTATTTTTGTACACATGCTTGACACCATGTCCCTACTTACTTCAATATTTGTCAGCTTTACAGTTCAGATTCTAAACAGTTGGTTTTTCTGTTGTCTCTGCCTTATGGTGGCTTATTTCTTTTGTGTTTAATTGTGTTTTTTATTATTATTATTATTATGAACCTATGTTCCTTAAAGTCTTATCTGTGGGAATTCATTGGGGCCTGAGATTAAAGACTGTTCTTCCAGAAAGGATTTGTATTTTCTTCTAGTAGGCACCATTGGGCACTTTAGATTAAATTTAGTTTGACCCAAATTCTGGCCTCATCCCCACAAGACTCGAGGCTTGTGGTTAAAAAATCTCAGGGGAGGCTTTTCTTATTTTGCATCCCATCCGGAACGGAGGTTAAGGCTGGCTTTTATCCCCATTGTCTGCCTGTGATGGGCAAGTTAATTTTCCCAATGATAACCTCATTGAGATTATCATCATTCGGACATCTTAGCTTTTTCATTTACATGACATTTTTACATTTATACATTCCTAGTGGTCTGCTTGCTGGTCTCTTTGATGATTTTAGGTCATGAGCTTTCTACTTGAATATTTGATTAACCTTAGTATGGGGGAATCCTGATGGCTGAAATTCAGGTTGTGTTCTTCAAGAGAGGATTTGCTTTCAAAACTTACGCGGGTGCCTAGGGACCAGTACACCTGAGGCCACCTTAATCCCCTTTGAGGAGCCACAGCAGCTGCCAGAGTCAGTCTTTTGCCGCTGTGTCCCCATCACCATAAGTTCAGGCCCTTGTCCCAGTGCCGGAGTAGGCATCTGCTCTGGGGAAACCCTGGCTTTCTCGGTTGCCTACTGCTCCCATTTCAGATTTGTCCCTTTATTTTTTAACTGTGTGTGTGTGTGACATTCTCTTGGTACATGTGTGTTTGCAAGGGTTTCTCTGAGAGTCCCCTTTTCCGGTGAAGCCTTCCCTGGAGACACAGCAGTGACTTAAAACTGTGTCGCTGTACTTCGTCCAAGATCTTTTGTGTGATAGTCGGAAGAGTACCTTCCAGATGTTTTCTCTGCCTCCCAGCTGGAAGTGAAAGCCCCCAGCCGTCTCTTGTCTTCCGTTGTCTTTCTACCTGTGTTTGGTTTTAGACAGAAGCACTGCACTGGCTTCAGCTCTAGCCTTGATTCAGGATCCCATTAATTGCATGCTTAACAAAAGTCCAGAGTTCTCAAGTCAGTCCCGAGAGGACCACTTCACCCTAAATGTTGGTCTCTAGGTTTAAAACCATCAGTTCCAGAGAAAACCCTTGGGCCCAGGTGCAAGGTGGAGGTGATACGTATGGTTAGACCAATAATGAACCAAGAGAGGAGACTGCAAAATGGCCATGTCTCATTAAAAGCCATACTTTGACTTGTTAGTTGCAAGCATTGCTTATTCTCGGCCTGAACTAATGTGATTCCTCACCTTTTATGTTTGCTATTGCCCATCAGTTTGACGAAGGAATGAATACCAGGTTTTTGAAATTAACATGACCGCTGTGAGTGGTGTCACATGTAAGCTCAGCTACATCTGAGAAATGGCAGGCATTTCTCATGTATCCCATGTTCATTTCAATGAATGATTTTTGAAGAGGTGGTTAGCTACTTACCTTCCAACATGTTCGGGATGACTGGTTCCTTCTAAGTATGTGGCATCCCATAATGACGACCCCTGGCAGCCTTGTGCCGCCACGAACAACATTGCATCAAGTTATTCGTAGTTGAAGGAGCTTGTCACGCCCTGCCGAGTTTGTGTGTCATTTATGGATTATGCGCCCATGCTACAGTCTAGCATGTAGACTTGGGGAAAGTTACAGTCTCGGGGGAAAGTTAATTTTATCTACTGAGAGAGATACATTTATATTTTAATTCCTGCTCCCTGAACTTAACGTCTGCATACCTGTTTTTATCCAGAAATACAGTCAATGGGTGTATTGGTTTCCTTACCCGAGAGAGAAAGATTTCAAATTCCTGCTTGAGCTGTCTTTGAGAACTAGCTGGGGCACCGTGGACCAGTCACGGGACTTCCTTAGTTTCTGTTTGTTTAATCTGCAAAATGGTTGGTTGAGTTAGGCCAGTGTTCCAGCCTGTGGGTTATGGAATCACTGTTGGCATGCAGCGTGATTCCAGGTGGTACCGGAGACCTTGCCCTACATAACATTTAATTCATGGGCTAGCAAAGTGATTTTCTCTTCTGTTCTCCATTTAACTGTAGTGTGTCTTTAGTACTTCTCTCAGGCTTGTTTATCTCCTTTAAGAAAGAGAAGTTCTCGGGCGCCTGGGTGGCTCAGCTGGTTAAGCGACTGCCTTCGGCTCAGGTCATGATCCTGGAGTCCTGGGATCGAGTCCCGCGTTGGGCTCCCTGCTCGGTGGGGAGTCTGCTTCTCCCTCTGACCCTCCCCCTTCTCATGTGCGCGCGCTCTCTCTCTCTCTCTCTCTCTCTCTCATTCTCACTCTCTCAAAAAATAAATAAATAAATCTTTTAAAAAAAAGAGAGAAGTTCTCAGGCCCAGAACCTTTCCTCTTGTAACAGTCTGGAACTAGAATGTTCTGTCCTTGCTGTCATTCTAGCATGTATCTCCCACCCCCTACTCCAAACTTTTTACTCAAAAAAATGTCTTAACCTGTGGGAAAGAAGAAAGAAACGCACAATGAACACCATATGCCTTTCACCTAGATTCAGTGAGAATTAGCTTTTGGCAGCACTTGCCTTATTTCATACTCTTCCTCCCATGACTCTCCCCCGCCATGTTCCAGGGTAGCCTGTTCTGCTCAACTGTGGTAGTGAAGTGAATTATAAGCCCCATGTTGTTAACAAATGAGGATTCAGAACTAGATTGATCTTCTAAAAGTCAGCCGTAGCCCAGTTTACTCATCCAAGTGTCGCGGGCTTCACCCTGAGACTGTTTTATGCTGGTTCAGTAGAGCGGTTATTTTGCATTTTACAGCAGTTCCCTAAAACAGCAAAGATCAAGAGAACCATTATCCGAGGCTTTCACTTTCATTTGTTTAATAACTATTAATAGCCACCTGTGCAATTAGTTGCATTTATTGAGTTTCATATTTGGAAACACCTCAAAGTAATCTTGTCCTAGCCGCTTCTGTGCATCTAAGACAGAGCCAAGAAACGGAAAGTCTGCAGAAAATAGATATCGCAGGGCCAATTCCCCAAAGCTCAGGGGCTGTGTTTACAGGCAAGCCCCTGAGGCATCCCTCTCTCTGGTCCTCTTTCCTCTTCCTTTATGCCGTGTTCCCATAAGCCTCCTGACCCAGAAGAGAAAGAAAACGAATGCTCGGGTAAGCACGTCACAGCCGCAGGAAGCAGTGGGGAGCCGTCTGATGGCAATAGAGGAAACCAAGGCAGAATTCTCAAGCACCACTAAAGAACCCATCCTCTGCGCTCGGAACTTTTCATTTCATCATCACCCCGCCCTGTAAGGGAGATGAGCCCACGGCAGGTCACTAATAAGCAAGGCTGGGCTGTGAACAGAAGCCTGTCTTGTCTTGAGAGCCAGGCTCTTTCCAGAAGGGCTGGGCGGAGGTGCTTGTGGATTCTGGGATCAGAGCGTGCAGGACACAGCCTGGGGCCGTTCTAGAGACTGCTAGGACTTCATTGTGCAAATGAATTGTTGTTGGGCAGCACTGTCATTGCTGGGGTTGATTTTGTTGATCTCCAGGCATGTAGCAAAGGTTGGGTTTGGATAATGGCCCTCATGCATTTTGCGGGTGCATATTTCAGTGGGAATTCTCACCACCCGCTCCTATTTAGTGGAGCACCCACTGCAGGGCCTCCAACACCAGGGGCGAGACCCCTTGGCTCCCCTCCCCTGCTGCACCATTTACACCAAGGACTTGCCTCCCCTTTCACCCTTCTCCCTGGGCTGCAGCCAGGATCTCCTTGAGCCGCAGGGCCCACAGGCATGGCAGGAAAGAGAGGGCAACAGCTCGTGACCAAATCTTCTCATTGGCCCCAACCCCATAGGCTTTCCACAGGTGCCGTAGGTTCGGGGGGTGTCCAGTAAGGCATGTTGGGGGGGTCCACAGTAGGTTCCCAAACCTCATGCTCTCTGCCACACACAATCCCATCTGCTCCTACCCTTGTTCAGTCTGTCTCATGTGTCCACTCTGCACCTGGCGCTGGGGACATGTCATGACTGGGCCCTGTCTTGCGGAGCTAACACTCCGATGGGAAGCGCACAGACATTGAACGAGGCATCGCACAGCTCATGCAGATGGTGGGACGTGCTGTCTGTGGAGGGAACATGGTAGGAGAGCGTACAGCTGGGGGCGTGTGTATGTAGGCAGGCAGGAAGGAAAAGTGTGCTCATGTTCCCCAGAGCTCCTGGAAGTGCATCATCGGGTGGATAGGCTTACAGGACACGGGGCCGACATCGTGCAACAGAACACCTCTCCCTGCCCAGAACCTTCAGCCCGCATGTCCAAGGTCAGATGCCATGTCTTCCACAGACCTTTTTCTTGCCCTCCGTCCATCCCCTCCAGCTGCAAATACCCCTTTTCTCCTGTGCATATTCCTCTCTCATCACCACTAATTCTGAGCACCTACTGTGTCCTCTCAGTGCCTACCCCTGGGAATGTGTGGCCGAAGCAGGAATGAACATCATAGTCCTCACTCTTGAGCCAGGCACTGGTCCCCCGTCCTCAGCCCCACAATGAAGTGGGTGCAATTACACTTCCCTTTACCAGTATGGAAGCACAGGGAGCTCAGTTCATCACTCAGACGTAAAGACACGAGACAGTAATCCGTGGTGTGGTAAGTGGTGTGGGCTTCTGATGGGAGTGTATGGAAGGGACCTAGTTATAGGGAAATCAGAAAAACAGCAAGAGTCTGTCGGATTGCACTAAGAGCCCATCTTGAGAATCAGACTTTGGTCTTAATCCCATCTCTGCTACGTATTAGCTGTGTGGCTTTCCAGACCCTTCTTCCAACGTCAGTAAAATAGGGATGCTCGCACCCACTTTACAGAGGTAAATGCAGCCATCCTTGCAGATGGCACGCGGCATTTGGCAGGTGGTGAGTATAGTAGGTAGCACCTTACTGCTCCCTCACCTGTGATGCGACCACGACTTGCTTCTCTGTTCAACTTTAAGCATCTTTGCGACAGCGTCTGTATCTGATCCCACCGCGGATGCCTCCTTGGGACCCTCCCTAAGACCATGCATCTGTATGAGGTGTTCAGCGAATATTTGCAGGATGAACGAGGGAGGGAGGGAAGGCGCCAGTGAATAGCTGTCACCACACGGCAGGTGGCCCTTTCTGCTGAACCCTGCATTTCATCTCCTGACAAGAGGGTCCTAATGTCGCAGCTCTGGCAGAGAGTGGACTTGTCCCCCTGATGTGCCCCAGCAGGCTGGCGGAGCCTACCCCACGGTGTTGGCAGGCGTGCAAAACCAAGCCCGGCTTGATTTTTCTGGTTTAATCTAAGAGGTGGCCCTCCACCACCATCACCACAGAAGAGAGTGGTTTGCTGTCTCTGCCCAAGCCGAGGGAGAATGCAGGCGAGGGGGGGGATGGGCGGGGAGGCCGGGGGTCGGGATTTGGGGTGCTGTCCGCAGAGCAGGGCCGCCTGCAGGGCCCCAGACGGGCAGAGCGCCGGGCTGCGGGTCAGGGGGCCGCAGGCGTGAGCACGGGGGGGCTAACCTGTGTCCTCTCTGTGTCCCCTCCCCGCCGCCCCGTCCGCAGGAACGGCCTGGGCGGCTGCCGGCTGCGGACTGAGAGCGAGCCGTCGTGCGGCTCCCCGGTGGTCAGCGGCGACCCCAAGGAGGACCACAACTACAGCAGTGCCAAGTCGTCCAACGCCAGGAGCACCTCGCCGGCCAGCGACTCGGTCTCCTCCTCCTCGGCCGACGACCACTACGAGTTCGCCCCCAAGGGGAGCCAGGAGGGCAGCGAGGGCAGCGAGGGCAGCTTCCAGAGCCACGAGAGCCACAGCGACACGGAGGAGGACGACCGCAAACACAGCCCCAAGGAGGCCAAGGACGCCCTGGGGGACAGCGGCTACGCGGCCCAGCACAAGAAGCGCCAGCACTTCGCCAAGGCCCGGAAGGTGCCCAGCGACACGCTGCCCCTCAAAAAGAGACGCACGGAGAAGCCCCCCGAGAGCGACGACGAGGAGATGAAAGAGGCGGCGGGCTCGCTCCTGCACTTGGCAGGGATTCGGTCCTGTTTGAATAACATCACCAATCGGACGGCAAAGGGGCAGAAAGAGCAAAAGGAAACCACAAAAAATTAAAAACAAGTCACTGATTTGTTTTGAACTTTCGGCCATTTGGTTTTAGCATGTCAGGAGATTTCTAATGATTTGTGGCAATATCAGCAATTTTTTTTCTTCTTTCTTTTTTTTTTTTGGTTTGGTTTTCTTTCTTTTCTTTTCTTTTTTTTTTTTTTTTTTAATTTGCCCCTCCTTTGTTTTGGACCCTTAAGAATTTTATTTTTAAAGGAGATTGAAGCCATAGAACTCATATTGACACTCAGCTGTTTTACAAAAGCTTTTCATTATCTGAAGACAAAACCGAAAAAGCCAAAATTACCATTGCTTCCTCCAGCTTTGTCAGAAACACGTGGCTGAATCCGCAGGGATGCCAGCGGTCATGCCACAGGAACACACATTCAACACCTAGAAGGCACGTGTGCAAAGTCATCATCGATCAGGCCCAACCCTTAGGTTTAAAAGGTCAGGATGGCCCCCCAGTTGGGGCCACTGAGTGAATGCGTATAAGGCGACGGGGACAAGGAAGAACCCTGGGCCCCGGGGAGCAGACCCAGACTCGTAGTGTGGGGCGTCCAGCTGTGCCAGGAAAACTCTTGGCCTTGCCATGGGTGTCATTGCCATGAAGTGTACAGGGGTGGGTGGACAGAGTGGGGGGCGTTCTCCACTCCTTTGTGCTTCTTCGCTATAAAGCCTAGTAGCGTCTTAGGAGGGGGATATACTGGACCACTCCTTTTACACCAGGTGTCACTGACTAATGAGAAGAAACTGGGTCAATTTTTAGTGGTGTTGCTCATCATTGAATTTTGTTCTGTATTGAGAGAATGTTCCACAAGCCATAAGCCTGAAGGTTGGCCCTGCATACATACACACACACACACACACGAGAGAGAGAGAGAGAACTGATGCAGAAAACAAGCTATGTCTTCTTAACTGCCCAAGTGAATATCAAGTCCAGGAAAGTACAATAGCTGTTAAGGAAGAAAATAATGGTACAGATCTTTTTCTGTCTGTCAAAACTATTTGATCCGAGTGAGAAAACAAAAAGCTACAGAACCTGCCATTAGTATTGTGGTGTATTTCTAAAAGATTAAAGGCAGATTGATGGACAAACAAAAGTAAAAACATGGCAAAAAAATACAAAAACAAAAAAGTCCTATACTGCCCTCAAAATGGAGTTTGCAATTAATATCAGGATTCATCTTTGCAAAATCAGTGAATTCCACGTTCAGCCAGTGTAGCCAGCAGAAATTTCTGATCCACAATGCATGGATTCCTTTTAAAAAAGAAAAAAAAAAAAAGACAAAAAAGGAAAAAAAAATCACAAAACACAAACTTTTTTTTATTCAAAAATAACAAAGTTCTTGTAAGGTAAATAATGTATTTAGCATGAAGCATGAATTATTTTCATATAAATATAGAAAATAGAGAAAAGGCTATGCCTCTAATTTTTAAGCCCTTAGGCTTAGGCTTTCTTTTGGTTTTCTCTTTTTTTTTTTTCTTTCTTTCTTTAATTTTTTTTCTGTTGTTTTGGTTTTTTTTTTTTCCCAATTATTTTGTTTTGGTTTTTTGAAGCAGGTGTTTAAGGTTTAACCTTCTTCAGGGACAAATTCTGACTGTTGGGGAATCTTACTCTGCAATATAAAATATCTTCGTGTTCTGGTAGGGCCTGGATGGCGGAGCTCTAACTGCCTTGTCTGCACTTCAGCCCCCGACCCCCTGGTTCTCTGTTGAAAAGTGTGTCCTTTCTCTTTGTCTGTCCATGTTTACCATGACGCAATAATTTGAGGGCAAACTTAGTAGTGAGTGTGTATGATAGAATCAAGAGAATTACGGGACGCTGACTTGAGAAAACCATTACCGTGATTTGGTCCTAGCAAAAAGGCAGTGAATAATTATGCAAATTCGCCAGAAGAAGGGAAAGCACGCTAATGGGCCTTATTGGATGAGGGTGTGAGTTAGGGTGCGCGCGAAGGAGGAAGTGACACGGGTGTTGGAAGGACCAGCCCCAGACAGTTTTCCTGTGATGCCATCTCGCAGTGGGAAGGAGGGGCCGGCCACCTTTGCCGCCCGAGCACACGAACCAACCTGGAATTAAGCCCACCTAGATTATGAGAGCTGAATTTAGACAACCGGACGATGTCACGCAGACCAGAAACTCCTGTTACCTTTGCCTAAAAGAAATTATCTTGGGAGATCCAGAGAGAAATCTCTGAAAGAATATGATCTTCCACCCACATGGAGGGGGATTTTAAAACATAAACAGGAACACCCACTACCGGGGCTCAGGATGTGGTGGTGAGGGAGAGCGGGGGGCACTGGGGAGACGGGGATGTTTAAAGACGGGACAGTCGGGGGCCGTCGTGGAGCCCAGTGGCCAGCAGCAGCCAGGACGGAGGGAATGAACTGGCGCGGGCCCCGCGCTTTCCTTCCTCTGGGTTGCTGATAAGAGAACCTGGGGGCGGGGGGGTAAAAGAAGTCTGTGCCCATCTGACAGGTCAAGTTCAGGACCTGAACCTGATTACTTCCAGCACATTTGTCCCGGGTGTAGA